TAATAGAACCTCATTTCGATGTGTTTACTTCGACCATGTGCTATTGGGTTCTTCGCCAGATTGATTGCTGACATGCTGTCGATCTTCATGGTAATTGCTCCATGATCTATCCCTGTTATCTCTTCGACCAAGTTCACCATCCAAGTTGCTTGACATGCACAAAGAGAAGCAGATATGTATTCTGCTTCGCATGATGATAATGTCACTATTGGTTCCTTTCTTGAATTCCAAGCAATTGGTGCACCACCTAGCATAAACACATATCCTGCTATTGACTTTCGATCTTCAGCATCACTACACCAACTCGAATCAGTTAGTAGTGTATCCCACTAACTTGCATTCTTTTCCTTTATCAGTTGCAGGAAACAGAATGTCATAGTCATGAGTTCCTTTGAGATGCCTCAGTATCCTCTTCACTGCTGCTAGATGTGATACATTTGGATTTTGCATGAATCCACTTACCATACCTACACTGTATACTAAGTCATGCCTTCTATGACAAAGGTATCTCAATGATCCAATAAGTCTTATGTATTAGGTTGGATCAATATCATCTTCATCTGCATCTTTCGACAGTTGCAGTCTTGGTTCTATAGGTGTTGAAGTTGAGTTGCATTCTTCCATCTCAAACCTCTTGAGAATTTCTCCTGCATATCTTCTTTGATGCAACATCAAACCTCTACTGCTTTTCTAGAATTCGATACCAAGGAAATATGAAATCTCACCCAAATCAGACATTTCGAATTCCTTGCTGAGATCACCTTTGAAGTGTTCGATCTCACTCTTGCAGCTACCTGTTATCAACAAATCATCTACATAGAGACATAGTATAAGCAATTTACTCTTGCTTCTTCTTACATATACTCCATATTCAGTTGTGCACTTCACAAATTCCTTTTCCCTTAGAAAATTATCAATTTTCTTATTCCAAGCCCTTGGAGCTTGTTTCAATCCATACAGGGCTTTATGCAGCCTGTACGCCTTTCTTTCTTCGTCATGTTTCACAAATCTAACTGGTTGTTTAACATAAACTTCTTCTTCTAAGGGTCCATTTAGGAATGCACACTTCACGTCCATCTGACATATGTGTCAATTGTTTATTTCTGCTAGACCAACAACCAACCTGATTGTTTCGATCCTAGCAATAGGTGCAAAAACTTCATCGGAGTCTATTCCTTCTTTCTGTAGAAATCCTTTCGCCACAAGCCTTGCTTTGTGTCGAGTTACTTCCCCTTTCGAATTCGTTCTCACTTTGTATACCCACTTGACATCAATTGCCTTCTTGCCTTGAAGTAATTCGACAAGTGACCAAGTGTTGTTGTCTTTGATAGACTTCACTTCTTCGTTCATTACTTTCACCCACTTTGAATCCTTCAATGCTTCAGCTGCATTAACAGGTTCGACATCTGCATAGAAAGCCTAATATACCAGCTCACCTTCATCATCTATCACATCATCTGATGTAATCACATAACCTTGCAATCTTGCAGGCATGCATCTTGTTCTTTGAGGTCTGTTTGTACTTGGTATATCTGTTGGTTCCTCTTGTCGAACTTCTCTTTCGACTTGAGTTTCTGGTTCTTCGAATAGGATTCCCACTGAATCTTTCTTGACATTTTCAGTCCAATCCCATTCTTTAAACTCATCTATGATCACGTCCCTGCTGATCACAATATGCTTTTTCACTGGATCGAACTACTTGTAGCCTCTTGTCGAATGATATCCAACTAGAATCATTTGACTTGACTTGTCATCAAGTTTTCTTCTCAACTGATCTGGCACATGTCTATGTGCAATAGATCCAAATACCTTCAGATAACTCAAGCTAGGCTTCACACCAGACCAACATTGTTCTGGAGTAATTCCTTCTAGCTTCTTTGTAGGACATCTGTTCAAAATGTATGTTGCAGTCGAAACAGCTTCACCCCAAAACTCTTTAGGTAAATTCTTGCCTTTCAACATGCTTCTCACCATATTCATGATGGTTCGATTCTTCCTTCCTGCAATTCCATTTTGTTGTGGAGTATAGGGTGGCACCACCTCATGCACAATCCCTTCCTTTTCACATAGTTTGTCAAAGTCTTTCGACACATACTCTCCACCACCACCAGTTCTCAAAACTTTGAGGTTTCGACCACTTTATCTTTCGACCATAGACTTAAACTTGGCAAATACTTCGATCACTTCACTTTTCTTCTTGATCAGGTAAGTACATAGGTTTCGACTGAAATCATCTATGAATGTAACATAGTATTTGTTACCTCCCATCGAATCCACCTGGATTGGTCCATATACATCAGAGTATATGACTTCAAGAATAGCCTTCAATATGCTTCCTGCATCCTTGCTGAAGCTATTTTTGTGTTGCTTCGCTTGCACCCATTCCTCACATACTTCATTTGGAATGTCAATTTCAGGCAATCCTGAAACCATATTTTTTTCTTCAAATCTCTGATGTCTCTGAAGTTGAGATGACCTAGTCTATAATTCCATATCCATTCATCTCTGCTAGCTGCATTCGAAAGACACTTGTGCTCCATCACATTTAGTTCAATCTTGAAGGTTCGATTCTGAGACATATGAGTCTTCAAGATTAATCTCCCATTTGCATCAACGACTCTCATCATCTTATCTTCGATTGACACTTTATAATTCTTTTCGACCAACTGCTCTATACTGAGCAAATTGCTCTTCATGCCTGGTATGTACAATACATTGAAAATTACTGACCTCTTGCCATCTTTTCTCATAATCATAACATCACCAATACCTTCAGCTACTAGGGTATTGTCATTTGCAAATTTTACTAAATTTTTCATTGAGGGCTTTATATTGACAAACCAGTCTTTCCTTCCAGACATATGTGATGAACATCCTGAACCCAAGTACCATTGGTCCTTGAATTTATCTTCATCTCTTGTTGTGACCATCAACATCATCTCTTCTTCTTCATGTTTTGTAAGCTTTGCATCACTTTCTTGATTCTTTCATTTTCTGGACAATCACTCGAATAATGACCATACTTCTGAAAATTGTAACATTGAATGTGACTCTTATGAGGTTTTCGACCACCACCTCTTCCTCTATTTGCAACACCACCTCTTTGGTTGCCTTGGTATGGTCTTCTTTGATTCGACACGTTTCCTTTGATCTGGTTTCCTCTACCATTTATTTTTTGTAGCCACCTCTACCTCTGCCGAAACATTTTCCTTTGCCTTTGGTTTCTTTTGTTGAATGTGCCTGCAAGGCCACATCACTGTTTGATTTGTCTGCAGCTCTTTCATTCATTCTTTGTTCATGAGATTCAAGAGTCCCTTGAAGCTCTTCCTTTGTCAATTTCGACAAGTCTTTCCCCTCTTCTATCGTCACCACTATGTGGTCGAACTTAGGAGCTAAAGATCTCAAGATCTTCGAAACAACAGCTCTTGTTGTTAACGTTTCTCCACATATCTTGATTTGATTTACTAGTTTTGTAACTCCAGGGAAGAAATCAGACATGCTTTCACTGTCTTCCATCTGAAGCAGTTCATACGTACTTTTGTGATTTTGTAACCTCACTTCTTTCACTTTCTCAGCGCCTCCAAAAGACTTCTCAAGGATTTCCCAAGCTTCTTTTGCAGATTCTGAATCACTAACCTTTTCGAAATTGTCTAGGCTGACACATTGATGAATTATAAATAATGCTTTATAACTCAACTTCTTAGATTCTGTGTATTTCTTCTTTTCTTCTTCTAAAGCGTTTTCTCCAAGCGTTTCGACTCCATCTTTTACAAGGTCTCAAAGACCTTGACACCTGAATAAGACTTTCATCTGTTTGCACCAATTTTCATAGTTGTCAACTTTCAGAATTGGTAGGGTTGCTGGATAGTTTGCATTCCCATAACTTGTCATCGTGAATTCTTCAATCGTTCTTGATTGATACTTCCCTTGAATCGAAACAAAGCTCTTGATATCAGATGTTGGAAATTCACCAAATTCTATAATGAATTTCTACCACAATAACAATTTAATTATGAGACAAACAAAGAAAAGAAGACAAGACAAATAATTTCTACAGAGTTTCTCTCTGCTCATAAACTGTGAAAACTTTCTTATTCACTTTGCAACTGCGAAATACTGTGAATGACTTACTTGATTTGCTTACAAAAATAGGGGTTACTCCCTCTATTTATAACTGAGCTTACACCCTAAGCCCAAAGCCAAAATTATCTTTTTGTTATTAAATCAAATCTAATTTATTCTAGAATTAAATCAAATCTATTTAAATCTAAAACAAATCAAATCTTTTCGACACATAGTTTCGACACACTGAATTACAATTTAACACTACCAATACAATACATATTTTATTTTAATCAATTAAATTTATATGATAATGATTTATTTTTTCAATTAAAAAATTCATTTTAAAATTATCTATATATTTATATTTTATATTTTATCAAAATAAATTTACTCGTGCAGACGCACATATATCTTATTAATTTTTTTAAATAAAAATTTATAACATTATGAAAATCATTTAAAAATAATTTTTGAAATAAACAGACTCATATTTTTGCATAACTAATAATTCTGAGTATTTAAAACGTGAAAGAAAAAAAAAACTGTTATAATGTTAATGGAATCCAGCGTCGTTATGAAATATATATTTAATGTAGCGAGTTGCATTCTTGGATTAAACTACAATAACAAATATTAATGAAAGCATCAAAATAAGTGACAAAACGCCATAGAAATAATGAAAGCATGCCCGACAAAGATATTTTTTTTTATTTTATTCCAAACAACTTAGGATCTTACATGTGACAGCATCAATGATTCTGAGTATAAAAAACAAAATTAGGATTAATTAATGGTTTTGAGTTTTGACACTCTGTAAAAGTTGATGCTTATCTGTAATTCCATAATCCAATAATAAAATATATAATTATGGGATATTGAATATTGCTAGCTATATATAGACACACCAAAATAAAGTGAGGTAGTATTAGCAAGCTATGGAATTCCAAAATGGAGAAGATGTTGCTTCCAATTTGCTCAAAGCTCAAAGCCACATATGGAATCACATTTTCAACTTCATCAATTCCATGTCACTTAAATGTGTTGTTGATTTAGGCATACCTGATATCTTACATAACTATGGCAAACCCATGTCACTCTCAAAACTCATTTCTTCACTACCACTTCATCCTTCAAAAATCCCTTACATGTATCGTTTGATGCGTATCATGACTTATTCTGGTTTTTTCTCGCAACAAAATGTTACGGATAATGAGCTAGAAATCGAGTTTATGTTAACCGATGTATCTAGATTATTACTTAAGGACACTCCAATGAGTGTGGCACCGTTTGTGCAGGCGGTGCTTGATCCAGTATTGACAAGTCCGTGGCATCAAATGTCCACTTGGTTAAAAAACGAGGATCCTACGGCATTTGAAACAACACATGGGAGGGTTTTGTGGGATTATGCTGCACATAACCCCATATTTAACAATTTGTTTAATGATTCCATGGCAAGTGATTCTCAATTAGTGACTAATTTGTTGCTGGAGAAGGGTAAGGAAGTGTTCGATAAATTGGAGTCATTGGTTGATGTTGGAGGAGGCACAGGGACCACGGCAAAGGCTATTGCCAAGTTATTTCCAGAATTGGAGTGCATTGTGTTTGATCTTCCACATGTTGTTGATGGCTTAGAAGGAATTCATAACCTAAACTATGTTGGTGGAGATATGTTTCAAGAAATTCCTCAGGCACATGCCATTTTGTTGAAGGTAAAATACTATCTTAGTTAATTATGAGATACATTATACTGTCCTTGTAGATCCATAATTAGTAAATGTTTAGGCTTGAATTGATGAGAAGTCTTCTCTTTAGTGGTAATTAAAACACTAAACAAAACATTAAAATTTATGTCATCAAATTTAGTGTGAAAATTAAGGTGTGTTCACGTGAATGGTTTGCTAGATTTGTTGATAGAAATCCAAACAAAATAAGTATATGAAATGAAATCCATGGAGAAATGAATTATTTTTCTTTCATAGATCAAATCATTGAAAAATAAAAATGTTATAACATATCTAATTGGTGTGAAATGATTGAACATATTATTATTCTACTAGAAAATACATATTAAAATTTTTAATGTTCATATAGTTAATTTTAGTTTATTAATAAGTAAAAAAATGTTTTCATTTATTTATATTTTATTAATATTTTTAATTTTGTGAATTTTATTACTTAAATTTTGAATGAAATCATAGTGGATATTGCATGATTGGAATGACGAAGAATGTGTAAAGATATTGAAGAAATGCAAGGAATCGTTAGAGAAGAAAGGTAAAGAAGGGAAAGTGATTATCATAGAGATGGTGTTAGACAATGAGAAAGAAAATATTAATGAATCAGTTGAAACACAACTCTTGTTTGATATGTTGATGATGGTATTAGTCACCGGAAAAGAGAGAAACAAGAGAGAATGGATTAAGTTGATTTCTTCAGCTGGTTTTAGTGACTATAAGATAACTCCAATCTTAGGCTTAAGGTCTATTATTGAGATCTATCCATAATAGATAAAACAAGTGAATTATTGAAATTGTAGTGTATAATGCATGTATAATGCATTATTTGATTGTTTTACTTTTGATTGTTTGTCAATTTGCATGTATAATGCATTATTTGATTTATAATGTGTTTGTACTTTGTCCATTGTATGAATTTATTTGCATTGTTATTGTAATTCATTTGGAATAATAATTTGTATTCGTATTCGTTCGCTTTGACTATATTTAGTCTTTGTACCTTTGAGAAACCTCAACATTCATTAAATTATTTGATGTATCCTTGTATTTGTCTATTTTTTTAGCCTAACAATTGGTTTTGTATTAATAAATTAACACTTGAATCAAAGATGTAATGATGTATGATTCGAATCATACATGAGTGTGACTCGAACCATAAAGTCTCATGAAAATTAGAAATTAGTTCTATCTCATTTGAGTTGAATCAAAGTAGAGTGTGATTCGAATCACAACTCCACTTGACTTGAATCATGAGGTACACATGACCTGAATCATGACCTCTTTCCCTTCTTTTCAACCCTTTGATAAGTTGATTGTTTCTTTGATTAGAATTATTACTTCATTATTTGATAAAAAACCCCGTTGTCTTTTTAGTTTTGAGAGAGTAGCATTATGTGAGAGTGTGTCTACCCTCTTGCACCAAATAATTCATCTTTCTCTTTTTTTTTTGTCAATGAGTGAAAGTGTGTCACCCATGGAGAAAATCTCAAAAAAAGTGTGAGGAATCACATCTCTTGAATCATTGTCTTATTTTTGTAGAATAAGAGAGAGAGAGAGAGAGAGAGAGAGAGAGAGAGAGGAGAGAGAGAGAGAGAGAGAGAGAGAGAGAGAGAGAGAGAGAGAGAGAGAGAGCGAGAGAGAGAGAGAGAGAGAGAGAGAGAGAGAGAGAGAGAGAGAGAGAGAGAGAGAGAGAGAGAGAGAGAGAGAGAGAGAGAGAGAGAGAATTGATTAATCAAGTGATAACATTGATCAATCTCTAAAAAATCACCAAGAACCTAGAAGCCCAATTTTATCAAGAACCTTGAGAGAACTCATTGTGTGTTCTTCATTCACCAACACGTAAATCCTTGATGGTACCTTGTATTAATCTCCTTGTCTGTGGATCTTGTGAGTTTTAATTGTGTGAGATTCTTCAGATACTATTCATCATCTTTATCTTTTGTCAAGAACCATTGTTATGGACCCTTAACTCTGAAGATTGAGTAATAGAGGTAGACCAAAAGTACATTAGGGAATCTAATATTTTTCTTTGATGTTGTGTTTTTGTGTATCACGTGAAAGAATCTTTTCTTGGATATGGGTTTTGGTTGTGTGTTATTCATAATGATAAACGAGTGTCTCTCTACTCCATTGAAGAAGTTTGTGAATCCATGTGAATGTTGTTGCAGAATAAAGTTGGGAGTTAACCAATTATTCAAGGCTTATGGAAATAGCTCGGACAAAGCTTCATCAGATTCGAGGAAAGAATGGTGCGAAAAGAAATCTTGAAGCATGTTGTTGTGGATAGAAAGATTATAGGATCAAGATCATTGAGGATCTTGTGTATATTAATTGAGTATCTGCATCAACGGGAGAAATTGTCATTTGATCTGTGTGTAGGCTAATGCAGTGTGACTATTAGCGTTCAGATTGATGATAGTTCATTATATCAAAATACTTGTATATTAACTCTTGAAAATAGTGGAAGACATGATTATTTTTCCAATGTTTTCAAACAAGCCAAACAAAACTTGGATCCCTTTATATATATTTTCAAAATTCAAATTCAAATCAACTTTTCCCTCATTATTCAAAAACTTCACAACAAATTCTCTCATCACTTAAGTTTCTCTCTATTCTCTCAAGCAAGAACACAAGAATAAAAAAAGAGAAAGTCTCAAGAAATTCCCTCACTCTCCTAATTTTCGATTGGAACTCTCCCTCCTCGAGCTCTCTCGCACTGTCGCTCCCTCCGACAGACTTCTCCTGCCAGCCGCGCCGCCTCCGCGCGACTCTGCCTCGGAACTCCCTTCGGCCTTCGCGTGATCTTCACGCTACTTCCTCCGTCTTTTCACGATTCTTCGGTGTTCCTTGCTCCGGTCAACTTCTTTCGATCATCATCTTCAAAGCTTCGCGTTAATTCGGTAATAATTCCTTGCAACATTGCTTCGATTTAATTTTTGATTGAATGATTCTTGAGAATGTGTAATTGTTCATTGAATTAAGTGCTTCTTATGATAATTGATTTTGTGAATTGATTTGATTTAGATATAGTAGAATTATAAAATTGATTAATTCTTGGGATAATTAATGATGGAAGCATTTGGAATCAGTTGAATGATGTTTGAGTTTTTCAAATTCGATTACTAATTGATGATGATTTTGATGTCGAGTTATGTCAAATTGTGAAATTTTATGGAGAATTAATTTTGACTTCATGTGTTAACGCGATTTTGAATTGATTTGATGATAAATTAATTTGTTCGATGTTGAAAACCTTGAATCCGATAAATTGCGTTAACACTTGAATAATTTTGTTTGTGCTCGGAATCGTTGCATTTTATATGAATTAATTGCTTACAATTTATTTGTAATTCCCTAGCAATATAACTTGAATCAGTAAATGCTTTTGTGCATCCGATTGTGATTTTTGAATCCGATTTTGATCAATATCGGTTCATATACGTGTTGCTGCCCGGAAAATGAAAATACACCGTAGCTTGCTCTTTAATTTTGGCTTATTGCATACTTGATCATAATTGAGCATTTGTTGGGCATCTATGTTAAGATTTGTCGTTTTCGACACTATTTTCCGAGAAGTCATCAGAAACATGAAGTTGGAAGTAGAAGCTACAAGTAGATGAAGTTGGAGGAAATGGGTTTGTGAAGTGAACATATGGATTAGACCCAACAACACAGAAGTGACGTTTGATTTTTAAGTGTGCAGAGGGAAATAAACCCAACAATTGAAAATTGGTTTAAATTGAACAGTGTTTTAGAAAAGCATAGCAAAATTGGGAACCAAATAGACAATTTCAATGAAAATGATAGTTATATTGGGACCAGTCAGACAATAAGTTAGAAAAACATTTTTGGGACAAAATTTAACCCCAAAATGTATGGGTATTAGATTTTTAGCAAAGGGTAGAAAAGTGATTTCCAGAGGTATCACTTTTCTTATATGAGAGATAAATAACATAAAATATTACACATATGAATTCAGAGAACTATGTGAGATTTCATGTCAAGATCTTGAATGAAAGCAATACACTAAAAAAGAGTATGGTAAAAAATAAAAAATAAAAACTTTACAAGAGATTATAGATATCAAATGGGAATCAAAAGATCAGTTATAACTTTATATAATATTATCTAGAGGGCTTTGTCTACGTAAGAGATAGTGATGAGTCTCTCAAGTGAATTCTTGCTTTTTTTTATCCTTTTTTTATGGTTTAACCAATTTTACGACAGTTTTAAAACGTCACAAAGTTTCAAAACTTATTATGAGACGGTTTAAAAACGCCGCTAAATTATTTGAATAAAAAAAACTTTGAAATTTTCTGACGGTTTAAAACCTCCGTTAAATGATTGTATAAAATGCTAGAATTCACACGAGAGATGACCTATTAAGGTCTCTCACCATAGACAACAACTATCTAGAATTATATTATTAAATTTATATTAATCACCAAAAAATTATAAGATTTTCACACCATAAACTACCTACCATTAATGACATTACGTCGTTTAACAATGATGACATTTTTATTTAAAGTTTATTGAAAAAAAGTAGGAAGTGTCACAACCAAATAAAAGAAATCAAGGAGGATGCAAAATGTGACTTTTGCTTAAGCATATTTCATAACTAAATTTTTTGACCGTAAAAATAAATTTGCATGATTTTCTCTAATATTTAAAAATTCTTTTATTATTTGTCTTTATCAGACCAGTCATCAAAAAAGTTTACGTGAGAATTTTTTTTTGAATAATCATGTATTAAAAAAAATTCGCAAATAATCACGTTTTAAAAAAAATTACGCAAATAACCATGTTTCAGATGACTCCCCAAAAGAGGAGCCATCTCACTTGGCGCCTACACCCATTATTTAAGGGGAGGCACCATCTCACTTGGCGCCTAGGTGCTTAGGGCATGCCCTAAGCCAAGTGAGATGGCGCCTTAGTGCAATTCTAGGGCAAATTTCGCGTTTTTTTTTCCAGTCTGGTGCGTTGCGTATTCGATACAGGATCAATAAAATTGACTTTTTATTAAAAAAATGATTACATCCATATGTATTACATTAAAAAAACAGATAAATTAGTGATCCCCCGGAACCCGGTAATGACCCCCGGTTCTGCATCCCTGTCCTCGCCTTTCCCGTGCTGGGTGTCGTCGCGTTTCCTGTTGTGGCAGGATCGATGGCCTAGCGAAGTCAATGCATTCCGGATCCATAAAATCAGTCAGATCTCCATATCTAGAAGATCCGCTTTGGTACAGTCGGTTACCCATACCCTTAAAGTTTGGTCGTGTTGGTGGTGGGTGGGGTTCCATGGTGGGTCTGTAGCATTGATCGTCTGAGTACAGGGGGTAGAAAAGAAATGGATCTTGGGGTGTTTGGTATTAAGGATGTTGGGTGGTTTGGTGATATTGTGGTTGAAGGTAAGTTGGGTCGGTTGGTTCGTAATCTTCCGACATTCCCAGATCAGGGCTAAGGCTGGATGTTGTGGGGCCCATATTTGGATATACAGAAGACTGGAATTGTGTGTGTGGTATGCGGGTGTGTTGGTATTGTGATTGGTATTGCGGTTGGGTGTGAGACATATGGGGGTATTGGTACTGATGTGGTGATTGTGGTTGGTTGTGGGGCATTTGGGTGTAATTGTGTTGTGGTGGGGACTGTGGTTGGGTGTTTGTGGTTCTGTTTCGTCTGGGGGGTTGGTGGGAGGTTGATGTGTGTTGGGTTTGTTGTTGGGGAAACGAGGGTTGTGCCCATTGTGTTTGTGGGTCAACC